CCTCACCACCCGACCCTCCAGCACCTCACCACCCGACCTCCGGCCCCTCACCACCCGACCCTCCAGCATCTGTCTCTTATACACATCTAGATGTGTATAAGAGACAGGTATGAAGGTATGAATCATGGTAATGTCACCATGTATGAAGGTATGAATCATGGTAATGTCACCATGTATGAAGGTATGAATCATGGTAATGTCACCAGGTATGAAGGCTGTCTCTTATACACATCTAGATGTGTATAAGAGACAGGTGCAGTGCCGTGCATGATACCGTGCAGTGCCGTGCATGATACCGTGCAGTGCCGTGCATAATACCGTGCAGTGCCGTGCATGATACCGTGCAGTGCCGTGCATGATACCGTGCCCACACTAATCTGATGCATCGCACATAAATCATTGCTGCGCTTTACGGCTTTCACTGAAATAAATAAATGGGTTTGCGGCTTGAAATTATGCAAGGTTTGCCTTTAGTGATTCATCACTTCGGCCAGTCAGAAGAGGTAGAGAAAGTGCTTCATTATAAGGACAAATTCAAATTATTTCTCTCGGTGTGTTGCAACTCCGTATGAGTGCCCTGAGTGCCACGTGGCACACCAGTGCCACATGACACGAGTGCCCTGAGTGCCACGTGGCACACGAGTGCTACATGACACGAGTGCCCTGAGTGCCACGTGACACACCAGTGCTACATGACACGAGTGCCCTGAGTGCCACGTGACACACGAGTGCTACATGACACGAGTGCCCTGAGTGCCACGTGGCACACCAGTGCTACATGACGCGAGTGCTCTAAGTGCCACGTGACACACCAGTGCTACATGACGCGAGTGCTCTGAGTGCCACGTGGCACACGAGTGCTACATGACGCGAGTGCTCTAAGTGCCACGTGACACACGAGTGCTACATGACACGAGTGCTCTAAGTGCCACGTGACACACCAGTGCTACATGACGCGAGTGCTCTAAGTGCCACGTGACACACGAGTGCTACATGACGCGAGTGCTCTGAGTGCCACGTGACACACGAGTGCTACATGACACGAGTGCTCTGAGTGCCACGTGACACACCAGTGCTACATAACTCACGAGTGCCACATAACTCGCACGAGTGCCCAGAGCGCCACTCACACAAGTCCCCCACAGGTGTACAGGAGCTGGTGCGGTCGCTGCAGAGGATACAGAGCCTCCTGCAGACCAACGGCCACCGCATCAACGACGACGTGAGGCTCGTCGCGCAGCTCCTGCACAACCCGGACTTCCAGAAGGTGCCTATACAATATACTGCACTATACTGTACACTATAGAACGCATGATGAACGCTACTAAACACTATACTATACAATATACTATACACTATACTTTATACTATACAATACAATATACTATACTATACACTAGACTACAATAAACACTAGACTACACACTATAGAACGCATGATGAACGCTACTATACACTATAGAACGCCTGATGAACGCCACTATACAGAAGACGACGCCAATTCAAACCCTGACTTGAGAACCTAAGCTGAACCCCACCTTGAAATCTGACCGAAATTTAAAACTTGGTACTATTTGCATTAAATATCAAATCTTGAAATGTGGAAATTTAATTTCACATAAATCCTCCATGGTTTGTCATACCTCCTGACTTGAGCAAAACAACAAATCCAAGGTGCAGTCAATATCGCGACGCAATATGTATTTTGTATCCGCGGTCGTATTTTCGCTGTCGGTGATGAACAGCGCTAGGCTTCGAATTATTCGACTCCCTAGAAGCGTTCCTGAGTTTGGCGTATGAATCTGAATACTTTGTTGTATCTTGCGCCATGTGCGCAATTACCAGCCGTACAATGTAATAGCACTACGTAACACTATTACAGTGTCCCATTGTACAGCTGATGTACTTGTGTAGCACTAACCCCCCTCCCCGTGCAGGTACTAGCCGTACGATGTACTAGCACTAATACAGTGTCCCATTGTACTGCTGATGTACTTGTAAAGCACTAACCCCCCTCCCCCCCGTGCAGATACTAGCCGTACAATGTACTAGCACTAATACAGTGTCCCATTGTGCTGCTGATGTACTTGTGTAGCACCCGTGCAGGTGCTCGCCGTACACAATAAAGTACAGCAGACGTGGTGTGTAGCGCGGCCCCCCACCCCCGTAGCACCCTCCGCCCGGGACCTGGCCTCACAGGTGGGGACGTGGGTGGGGCCAACCGATTTATAGTCCAGGGACTGGACTAAACTTCATGACTTCATGAAAAAAATCGTGATTTTGTTCTATGGTTGTTATGGTATTGGGGAAATGGTGACAAGTTAGCTACATTTACGTCTTCATGAGATATTCAGTGTTGATAAGCGTTGGTATTACGTAAATTGCTAAAAGCCCGTGTGGTTGTGATGTAAAAGAATTTACCGCGACACAATAATGACTCTATTGTATTAAGGTGTGTAGGTCGGCAACCGAGCACCACTTTAATGTTTTGTGAAAATTTTGCACTAGAACAACCCATCGTGTAGTACGGGAAGAACATATATATGCTTCGCTGATAATGCGCGTATTAGCGCCATTCATAAACTTTGCATCATCGTTTTGCCTCATCCGCATGACGTCACATTTCCAGGCACTAGAAGTGGTGCTAGGCAACCATATCATTTTTACTTTTGTACATTTATAATAGTACTAAACTAGGTGAGTGTGAGCCCTACTACTACATTTCTAGTAATACTAGACTAGGCGAGTGTGAGTCTACTACTACATTTTTAGTATCACTAGACTAGGTGAGTGTGAGTCTAGTACTATATTTCTAGTATCACTAGACTAGGTGAGTGTGAATCTACTACTGTGAATCTACTACTACATTTCTAGTATCACTAGACTAGGTGAGTGTGGCTTCACATGTAACTACACATGTCTCGTGTACAGGTGGTGGAGGCGCTGCAGGGGAGCGCCAGCCCCGAGGCTGGGGAGTTGCTGGACCTGCTGAGTCATCACGCCCTTGAAGGGCTCCTCTACGCTCACGACCACGTCGCCCTCAGGGAGCCACCCTGCGCGCCCCCCAAGGTTTCATCTTCGCTCTTTTCACCACCCGTAGACCATAAGCTCTATATACCCCCGCTAGGCAATAGACCCCGGACGTGCAAAATGCATTTGCCATGATGAAACAGCGATGCTCAGCTGACATGCACAGCTGCTTGCCTTGGTTGCTAATGTGGCCATCAGGATTAATTATTTTAGAGAAACATAAACTCATCCCACCTATTGTTGTACGGCACTAGGTGTCCTACTATCCTCCGTTGCATCATCTCTTAGCGTTTATAAGACATTGTTTCGTTGGGCGCACCTGCAAGTAAAGAATGGTTTGTGCACACAAATATCAACGTTAATTTCCTTCGAGGTGACTAAATTCTCTTGAGTCGATGAGAATTATTATTATTTATTTGCTTACGCTAATCAAAAGTTGACGTATTCTAATAGCCACTGCGTGCATGTCAGCTTGATGTCAGCTAACGAAGTGTCACTTCGTTCCACTTTCTTTTTTAGTGCCGATTTCATCCATAAATAGTGAAGGCAGTTCCATACATTCCCACGCCGTGATGTCGCCCGAAATGAATGTCTATTAGAAGACATTTGTCTGTATGAGAGCTGTATTTACTGTATGTAAGTGCACTACGCCTGTATTTACTGTGTGACTATTCCAAAATGAATGTCTATTGGAGAGACATATTTTTTATATGGGAGCTAATGGAGTGATTGTGTTTCAGGTGATGCCTGGGGAGGCGTGCCTTGACGAGCTCAACTCAAACTCCCGCCCCAGCGTCAACATCGTCAGGATAGACAAGACCAACGAGCCCCTGGTGGGTGGGGGTAATACTAAGGGCTGGTGTGGGCGGCTGATGAGGGCTTGAATTTGATTTAAGCTTTACCCCAACAGAACCCGTCCTACCGACTGATATTTCTCAAATGAACTCAATATTGCCCCAATTTACTGGCTTCTTCTGAATGACTCAATACTGCCTCAATTGACTATTCTTCCATTTGATATCCCTCCAGTTGACACAATATTGCTCCTGTTGACTCATAGTTACCCGACGACTTGTCAGTTATCAGATTGTCTAACCTGTATTCACATAAATTAAATGCTTCGTTCTCACAACTTCGATCTCCGATGCGTTTTGGTTTCTTTGTTCCTCTCCCTAATCGCCCCCTTCCCACAGGGTGCGACCATCCGCAACGAGGGTGACTCGGTGGTCATCGGGCGGATCGTTAAAGGCGGCGCGGCGGAGAAGTCGGGGGCGCTGCACGAGGGCGACGAGATCCTCGAGGTGAACGGCGTGGAGGTGCGCGGACGCGGCGTCAACGACGTTTGCGACATGCTGGCCGGTGGGTGGAGGGTGTAGTAATTTTCATCATCTAAGTAGACATTTTTCACCCTCGCATTACTCATAAGGTGGGGTAAGAATTTTAGCCCGGAAGCACCTCGGATGTTGAGGAATGAAGCTACGGGATGTGAACAACTAACTAGCATATCCAAGAATAGGCCGAGAAATCGAGTCGATTGTACAAAGGACATTGAGCGGTTGTCAAAGAACGATTTTTATCTATCGAAGTCGGGGAATCATGTTATCATTCACGCGTATACTCATGTTTGCAATGCTTTACTTATTCATTATTCTTCCCCGCAGGTATGACCGGAACGCTCACATTCATCATCATCCCCCACCAATTCTCCTCCCCTGTCTGCGACGTCTCTCCCCAGACTGCCACCCAGCAGACCGTGCACGTGAAAGCTCACTTTGACTACGACCCCGAAGAGGATCTCTACATCCCCTGCAGGTGCGGGTTGTGTGCGTAGGATGTAGAGCTTGAGCGGGTGCGTGTGATTGTGCTAAAGCTGTGTGCGCGATGTGCACGAGCTGTGTATGCGGCGAGTGCACGGTGTGCATGAAGTTTGTACGCAGTGTCTGTTCGAGGTTTATGTGTCGTGCCAAAATCACGGAATTGCCGGTTCCATGGAATCGGCTACCAGCTTGCCGAATCTGTAGAATCAGCATTTCTATACTATAGGAATCTATGGTTACGTCAGTCAGCTAAGTTTTTTTATATTTAAATATAAATGAACTTTACCGAACTTCACCTAACCTTTTCTAAAACTAACTGTCGATTTATGCTTTAACTCTAAGGTCCGATTTTCTGAATCAACAACGAAATGCTGATTCTACAGCTGCTGAAACTTGCTGCCGATTCCAAAGAATCGGCAATTTCTGCGATTTCGGCACGGCATATGCACTATCTGTTCGAATTTTGAACGCGGTGCACACACTCCTTTACATGTCACCCGACCTCAAACCCCTCCCCTAACCCCAACCCTACATTACAGGGAGCTGGGGATGAGCTTTCAGAAGGGTGACATCCTGCACGTGATCAGCCAGAGCGACCCGTCCTGGTGGCAGGCCTACCGCGAGGGGGAGGAGGACCAGGCGCTCGCCGGCCTCATCCCGTCCAAGGCCTTCCAGCAGCAGTGCGTCCCTGGGCCCCACACCTCGTATAAATAATCGCATAGCAAGGCCCCACACTATCGTGTAACACGCTCATAGCCAGGCCCCACACCCCCGTGTAACACGCACTTATCCAGGCCCCACACCCTCGTGTAACACGCACATAGCCAGGCCCCACGCCCTCGTGTAACACGACCCACACCCTCGTGTAACACGCACATAGCCAGGCCCCACACCCTAGTGTAACACGCACATAACCAGGCCCCACACCCTCGTGTAACACGCACATAGCCAGGCACCACACCCTCGAGTAACACGCACATAGCCAGGCACCACACCCTCGAGTAACACGCACATAGCCAGGCACCACACCCTCGAGTAACACGCTTATAGTCAATAAAAACAATTAGCGAATTCCCAAGCTTTATGAAGTTAACTGCTATTTACACAGGCTTGTCAGGCGAAGTATTGCTTACTGAAGTTTTTGGCTGGTCCCGGATAAAAAATTGTTTTGACTGCTGAGTTATCACCGCTATGTTCCCTAGTGGTATCAAGTTAAACAAGAATTTCGTTCGTCATGCAGCATTTTCTCCTTGCGCCTTCGCTCAGTTAATCAATGAAGTTTAAGCTGTCATTGCTGTGACGCTTCGAGGCACTGCAGTGCCGCGCTGTGGGTGCTGCAGTACCGCACCTCACTGCCACAAATGACTCGCTCTGAATGCTTTTAAAACGAACATTTGGAGCTACACGAGCGAATAAACTGAAAAATTCAATTTTGTGGGGTTGTTTTCAGGCAGTTGTACATTTTTGAAAAGATTAAATTGTAAAGTTTTGTTAATCTACCGTACCGCGTAATAGAATCGACGATGCGAAGCTTAACCCCACCAGCAAATTTCTAATTTCGTTCTTGTTTGAGGAAACTAATAATAACCAACAAACATTCAAGCTTCGCGCACTTGAATGCGTGATGATATTGGTTATTGTTTAATGGTGACCACGTACACGTTGAAGAACTTTAACGGTGTGTTAATTGCCATACTTGAAACTGGCAGCTAATAAAACTCTGAAATATTCCTTAAGAACCTCCTCCCTCAGGCGCGAGGCGATGCGGCAGACGGTGGTGGGCGACTCGACCACAAAGGACAAGAACAAGAAAGGGAAGCAGCTCCTGTGCGCTAAGAAGCAGCATAAGAACAAGAAGAAGAAGATGCTTTATTCAAACTACAATGATGGTTAGTCTTTGCGCTTGTGAACCTCGCTAGTTGACATAGTCTGTTATGATAATTGCAAGTTCACTTGTCACGCTATTAAGTCTTCGAGCTAAACGATCGTGAGTGACTAGTCTATTATGCCTCACTGGTCATCCTCAGCGTTTAATTCATAATAACAGGTGCTTCTTTCAACTGAGCTTAGATTATTTTTCACTCGCAAAAAGAATGTAACAATTAAAAAAAAATAAAAATGCCTAGAGCAACATTTTTGAAACAATGATTTATTTTCCGGCAATAAATCATTTGTTCAGTGACTGCATTAGTGTTTCGGAAGCTGAGTCCTGATTTGCACGATGGCCTGCTTATATTAAACAGAAATCAATGCTCCCTGAAGCTGCTTTTGAAACTCCCAGACTTATTTCAATTTTCTCTGAGACAGTATTTCTCAGGATTCTTAACGAAACTAATAGTGCTTTTGTACAAACATTGGAGTCTAGAGTTGGACGCAAACTGGTGTTTAATGTCTACTAGAACTTCTAGAAGAATTTCAGGTGTCATGCCGGATCTTAATTTAATAATGTCGCTATGACCTGCCTTCATTGGTGCACGTTGCCTGTTCTTGCATGTTGCTGCATGATCTCGCATGTTGCTGCATGATCTCGCATGTTGCTGCCTGATCTCGCATGTTGCTGCATCTAATTGAATGCTAATACACGCATGTTTCTCCCTGGAAACCTGAACTTGTTTATCATGTTTGTGCTCCGTAACACAATCTAATTGCTCTCGCTACACGCGTCTTTTCGCTCTCATTTTCTTTGTTTTATGTTAATAACAAATATCGAGGGAAGGAAAGCAGCATCTTATTTTATAGATTCTTTATTACAGGGAAGTTTCCAAACAGCTGAGAATTTCCATTGTATTACTTTAATCAATATTTGCTTATAAATAACTGATGTTGTGGTAGATATCTAAAATTTTCTCATTTGCTCGCATTCACTTTCTTACTTGAAAAAATTCACTTTTAATTCACTGCTTTGGGTGTTGAAATTTAATTTTTGCAAGTTCTAGTCTATTTTTTTATTGTTTTTGCATGCATTAATCTCTGTATTTTATTTCAAGCACTAATATATTTATTTGCCTGTTCTTCTCTTCCTTGTTTTGTTGATTTCTCCCTTTCTCTTTCTATTCTGCCTTACTCCATAATTTCTCTTTCTACTCTGCCTCCTCCATTTCTCTTTCTACTTCGTCTACTGCATTTCTCTTTCTACTCTGCCTCCTCCATTTCTCTTTCTACTTCGTCTACTGCATTTCTCTTTCTACTCTGCCTTACTCCATTTCTTAAGCCTTATATTCTTCCTATTTTCTTATGCGACCTTTCACCATCCTCATTATCACGGCCATCTCCCACTTCCCTTCGTCAAATTCTGCCCTTCTATTTCCACTTACTTCCCCCTCTTCTCTTCATCTTTCCCCCCTCTTCTCTTCATCTTTCCCCCCTCTTCTCTTCATCTTTCCCCCTCTTCTCTTCATCTTTCCCCCTCTTCTCTTCATCTTTCCCCCTCTTCTCTTCCCCTTTCCTCCTCTTCTCTTCCCCTTTCCCCCTCTTTGCCCTTCCCTTTGAGGAAACCTACAGCTCGCTCCCCCTCCCTGTTCCCCCTGAGTGGGGGTAGCGACGGCGTCACCGAGTTCTGCGTTCGTCAGCAAAGGGCTCCTGACACCCATGAGAGGTTGTCCCCGCCGGCAGGAGGAGGGTTGGGGCTCCTCCTGGCCTCCTTCTGCTGCTGTTGCTGCAAGAGCAGCACGCCTCTAGACGTTCGCACCTCCTCCTTCCTAGAGCCTCTATGTCTAGATGGTACAGCACTGCTCTAGTGCACGTTTATTAACGTGCGAATAGTTTCTATCCAGCCTCGCTGAGCTGACTAGTCTGCATGGGTGTACATTTATGGGGGCAATAAATCTATGAAGTCTGGGGATGACGCAACCATGAATGTGAAGGCGAATATATTGATAATGAACTTACAAATCATATGAATAAATAATCAAATTATATAATAAAAATTACAGAAACGCAGAACACCTATCAGTCTTCTTCCATTATAGCCAAAAACGTATCATCTTTCTATTTTAAGTACCCAACCCCCGTCTCTGCCTCATGCATCGCATCTTGCTTATTTAACGCCTACTTCTGTTGCTGGTTTTTTTCATTGCAGAATTGAGAGTTTCATTTCTTTCGAAACTTATTCTATTTTTTGGATGTGCATGAGGTCAACTTATAGGTGTTTAATATGTATATTTATATAACTGTATAGTCATTATTTCGGTGTATATAATCTATACTGTTTGTGTGAATGGCCTTTGCTTGCTGAAATGTTGAGCAAGAATTGCTTTTCTTGCTCCGCCACTTTCCCCTTCACTTGCACCACCACTTGGCCCACCACCTGTACCACCACTTGCCCCCACCACCTGTACCACCACTTGCCCCCACCACCTGTACCACCACTTGCCCCACCACCTGTACCACCACTTGCCCCCACCACCTGTACCACCACTTGCCCCCACCACCTGTACCACCACCTACCCCTCGTTGCAGAGTACGACAACGAAGAGGTGCTGACGTACGAGGAGGTCGCGCTCTACTACCCTCGCGCTAATTGCAAGCGCCCTCTGGTGCTCATCGGGCCCCCTAACATCGGGCGCCACGAGCTGCGCCAGCGCCTCATGGAGGACCGCGACCGCTTTGCTGCTGCAGTCCCTCGTGAGTCGCTGCGCCCCTCGGGCAGTTTGGGGTAATACGTTGGGGAGGGTGTTGACTTTTTAGAGGTAAGGGCGACGATGTTACGAGGACGATAGGGTGACATTACTTGGGTGATAGGATGGCATTACTGGGGTGATGGGGTGGCATCTCTAGGGTGATGGGTGGCATCTCTAGAGTAGCATTACTGGGGTGATAGGGTGGCATCTCTAGGGTGAATGCGATGTAATTTCTAGAGTGATGCGCCCTCTTCACCTTGGCTGGCGTAGTGCACCAGATGTCTGTTGTGTTGTGGCCTCATGCACCTGAATGTGAGGCCCTAGGCTGGAGGCGTCACGGTCGTGTGGTGGTGACGTTTGCCGTGTATCTGGTACTTGCGTAACGGTTGAGTTACGTCGATTGGTGACTCTGTAGTGGTTTCTCCTCGCCTCAAATATATTTTATCTCGATCATCTAAACCTCCTTCATATTCCTTTTATTATTTGATGGGATTTTAAGGTGCAGTTTATAGGTCTTCTTTTGTGCTGGTGGAACAAATGTTGATATGTTCTAAATGCTTTAATCGACGCATGTCTTCGACAAATCGTGTCTCACAAATCCTCTTGCAGCCCTAAAATTGTTCCTCATCTTCTACTTGTATCAGTCACATAATGACTCCTTTTCATGACGGAAATCTCGTGCCTTTATTAACTTTGCGGTATCGTTGCTAAGTCCCTCTGCCCCTCAGACACATCGCGCCCCCGGCGGGACAAGGAGGTGGATGGTCAGGACTACCACTTCATCTCGAGAGCGCAGTTCGAGGAAGACATCTTGCAGCGCAAGTTTGTCGAGCACGGCGAGTTTGAGAAAGCTTATTACGGCACGAGTCTTACGTCCATCAGGGCTATTGTGAGCATGGGGAAGATCTGCGTACTTAACCTGCACGCTCTCTCACTCAAGATACTCAAGAACTCGGACTTGAAGCCTTTTGTGGTCTTCATTGCGCCGCCAAGCCTCGAAAAATTGAGGCAGAAAAAACAGCGACTCGGGGAACCCGTGAAGGTACGGCACAGTTACTCATATTTTTCTTTTGTCTACTCGAGCAATTTTTCAGATGCTTTTATTATATTATGAGACTAAATTTTCCATTACTCGAGATGTCTATTTCATTTTTTCGCACACGTCTGCCATAGCTTAATAATTAACTATCTAAGCTATTTTAATTTTTGTTCAATGAAAATGTACATACATTTTCATTGAACAAAAGTGATACATGTATCACTGTATCACTTTAAGAAGTGATACATGGTATCACTTCTTAATTCATTACATCTGATAAGTATTTTAGTTAGCTATATAATCATCCTGACAACATCAAAACTTTCACCACCTCTTGATAATCCTGTGAATATTCCTCAACGATATTCCTCCGACCTAACATCCCTTTCCCAGATATCTCCCTCCCTAATATCCCCCTCCCTGATATTCCCCTCTCCCCTCAATTATATCCCCGCCCCTCCCCCTGAATTATAATCCTGATCAATGGCGCAGGACGAGGAGCTCAAGGAGATCATGGAGAAGGCCCGCGAGATGGAGGACCAATACGGCCATTACTTCGATCTCATCATCGTCAACCACGACGTGGAGTCCGCGTACCAGCAACTACTGCACGAGGTCAACATGTTGGAGCGCGAGCCGCAGTGGGTGCCTGCCACGTGGCTCAGGCAAGACTAGGTACCGCAGTGGGTGCCTGCCACGTGGCTCAGGCAAGACTAGGTGCTGACGTTGCCACAGCAGCTTCGGAAACAACACACCTAGCAATACTAGCCCCAGCGAAGGCAAAACTTTCCTTAGTTGAAGATGTTGTCCCTCTCTGAAAATTTTTTTGCAAAAGGAAACTTTTTTCTTTTTGCCACTGGTGTTGATTTAATTCATATGATTTAAAGTCGAGTCTTTCAATAAAAAGTGACTGGCGGTGTTAGCAATTCCTGAGTGCTAAGTGACCAGAGTGTTAACAGCTAGTGGTGCGGAATGTTCAACCCCCTACAAGATATACTAGCACTAGTCCATGGTGTATGTCTCAATACTCCCTAGTAAAGCGTGTAACTGTTATTGGTGTATACTGAAGGAAACTATTAAACTGGTTCGGTGTCTCGAGTGTCACTGATGCGGGATCTGTTGAGGATGACTGCCATGTTTTCGTTGACGAGTAAGCTATCGAAAATTCTTGCTTCTGCCGATGTGTAGCTGCCACGTTGGCCGTCTCAATGCTGACGAATAAGAAACTCACAACTGCGAGTGTCGCAACGAAGACGGGAATTGCAGCGGAAGCAACAGCGCTGTGCTTCGATAAATTTATCCGTACCAGCATTGTTGCTATGAGGATGAAATACCAGAGCCACTAGTAGCAGGATGCCTTGTTTGTCACAAATTTCGGGCACTAAGAATTATTTTTAAAAAGCGGATAGCAGCTTCACGTGTTCTGAGATAATAGCAACCTTACGTGTTCTGACAGATCAACTTCATTATGTTAAAATTGTTTTCCTTCTGTCTACGGTTGTCGTTTTTGTAAATTAGTTCATGTAAGTTATGATATTTTAGAAGAACTTGAATGTGGATGTGCAGAAGCTTCTTTGGGGATTTGAACTCTAGGGTTATCCTTGCTGCATTTGAATCCTTGTGTTATTGTAGTGTTTGAACCCTATTTTTTGGTCTCTAGCAGCTCCAGGTACGTCAACGCGCTACGCAAGAAACTGTGTGCAAGAGCTCAGTTCTAACGCGAGTTGTACCAGTCCAGTTAATGTGACTGTCTTCAGTCCATGCATTATAAACCCGAATGAAAGCCTGTAAAGAGGGTAGGAAAGTTAACGATAAACATGTCGAAATCTTAGAACTGAGGGCTAAGATCCCTCACTTGAAGAGGCTGTCTACCGCCATACCCGCATTTAGATAGGAATAACCTTACACTAGCCGTCACGTCTAGCCCACAAGGCAGTCGAAGGAATTCACAGACGTGTAATAAAATACTATTACATTGGGCATGTGCTATAGTGTACAGAGAATTTATATGTATATGATTGTATGAATTACACACAAGACTTATGTATGCAATACCGTTTATCCCGTGCGCTGTGTACCTCACTCGTTGGATGTGTTCTGGCAACGATGTGATTGTCCCTTCCCGAAAGGAATGTCAGATAAGAATTTATTTGCATGTAATGTAAGCGCAAGCGCAATTACCCATTTAAATGACTAAATTTTAGTTGCCAGTGTAATTTGTAATAATGAGATAATTTAGGCGTGCGTTGCTACGAGCTGGGCAAGTCATATTTCATAAAAGTTATATTTTGTTGCTAATTTTATGACCATCCGAGTGATTAACTTCCTACTTAATTCCATGAATGTTGCTAAGTCTACCTGTGCGATTGTGCTCCTTCCTTACTTTTATCATACTTTTTTATATCTTTTCCCTTCTCTCGATCTTTGACATTTTCAGCATGTCTTTCTCTATTTAACTTGAAGTTTTGATCTGCTTCCATTTACAAGGTTGTTTCTCTCGCGTCAAGATTCTTTTCCTCCCGTCGAAAACGACTAATTTTTTCTGAATATAACTCAGGACTATGTTGAATGTAACGGACAATAACTAGAACTATTTTCTATTAGGTACTCATTTCTACTTAACCCTTACAAGAATTAAGCACTTGTTACTACTTAGAGCCACTTGGTTAGGACTGCTGTCAGAAGTGACTTACAGTCGTGCTTTCTAACGCGATGGACGACGCAGCTTGTTCTGGTCCAGCTTCTCAACCCATCCGCTCAATGTGCGTCTCAAACGCCGGTGTTACTTCGAATTAATAATTCAACGTGAAATTATTAGTAATTATTCATAACTTTAGTAACATTCAAAATATAAGGAACTATTCATTACTGCACGCTTGGAATTTGTGTTCTTGTCTGAAGTGTTTTGTAAGCCCCGCCTCGCGCATCGCCCTCAGCCATAATTTCCTCCACGATCCTTTTCACGGTTAGCTTATGCGTTCCTGTGCCAGGTGGATTTTTGTTACGAAATGTGGGGCGGCCCCTCGGAAATATTACTTTTTGTGAAAATAATAATATCTGGAAATTAAGGATGAACACAAAGCTCTGAAAGCCCAATTGATTATTAATTTTTTTAGAACAATTTGATGAATTGCTTCATGTTTAGCAATTTCAGCCTCATTAGTAGTTGGGTGGCTCGGTGCCTAACGATCAACGTGAAAAGCGTTCACGGTCGCCATCAGCTGAGACGAGCAAATCCTTCCACCTGCAGAGATCAAGATGAACTTATAACTTTCGATTTTCGCATACGGGTGTTCATTGCAGAGATTTTGAGATTCTAATTTCTAATCATCGTGGGATTTTAAATTCTGTTTAATGCCATTCTGAAGCCCAGCACTTGCACAACTTAAGCGCGGGAGCATTTCTATTGCAAGGCGCATTTGTAAATGAATTGTATGTGCTGGCATGTTTTGCTATTGCAGCTATTTCTTCATTTTTGCTTGATTTTCGTAAGCGCATTTAGCATGCATTGATTATTTGTTCAAAGTGCCATAAGATCATTTATTCTTTGCCATGTAGCAGTTACTGGCATCATGTCTATTTGTACGTTAAAAATCATTTATTTCAGGTGTAAATTTCTGTATTATGCCTAACTATGTGTTAATGTGCATCATGTATCCATTCCTGCATCATGATCTGCTCAACGGCCGACACAGCGGTTTATCGTCCGCCTTCTTTCTGCGTCTCGGTTTCGAGTAGAGAGAGTGAACGTCAGCCGCCACTACCGTATTTTTGTAATAAGTGTAAATATTGACGGACGTTGTGAACCTCCATCTCTTGAATATTATATCCATTTAAATATGCCCCAATCGACTTTTTCAATCCACTATGTTCGTTAGCTTTTCTAGTCGGGACTTTACACCACTCGGCTTCGGAGTGATGGTGTGACACTGACGTGGTTTCGCAAAAACTAAATACGGCTCGATTTACTGTTTTTTTTACTTTAAAATTGTTGATTAGAAATTTTTAGATTCAGATCTGGTATATAATTTTTTTATTCACATTGTATTCGTACCAGAGTAATCAATCTAAAGTGGGGGTCTAATGAAAACGAGACCGACTGCGCACCTCTTGCAGTGGATGTTTTGAGTTACATATGCGCATAATTGAATATTTAAAATTAGGTAAGAACTCGATTGATTTATCGACTAACTATTAGTGATCATTCAGTCGCTCAGTATATTAGTGATCACTTGAACGACCCGTCCATATGAAGAGGCGCAGGCCTCCTGCCCCGACATCAGCGGAGCGCAGGATCCTGCTTACGGAGGTCGCAGTTCGTCGCACTCGTTGCGTTCACTCATCGTGAATAGCTAACGTCAGGGCGTCATAGTTACGATAAATGCGCACAGATTACTGACTTTCAATTAAATGCAATTGGAGAACAAGTCTTAGTAATTGAATCATCGGTACGTTACGCACCGTAAAGTGATGATTAATAATCTCCCGCTTATAGTGAGAAGCGGAAATGATCTGCACCGAAATATCTTCAGATTCTGCACCGGCGTCAAGAGATGACGATTAAGCATCATGGCAAATTTAGGATAAAAAATCAACAGGCGAGTTTTGTTCACGAGTTTACATCTTACAAATCTTATGCATTTCAACCAGAGCTTCAAGTCATCATTCTTCATATGCAAACAAACGAACTAACTAACGAAATAGAAATGAAGGGCGGAGATCTACAGCTTATACAGCCCCTGAAATGTGCACGAGAAAGATATACCAATGATGACGTCGTAACCCATCACAGGACACTGCCGCCCATTACCGCGGTCCATCTAATGGGCTCACTCTATTACAGTCTTCGTGGTGATAGCAGCTGCACGTCATTACAGTACTACAACTTAGCTAATGCTGCCTGCACATTAGCATCTGGGTAGCGTCGCCTGATAGTTACACCAAGTGCAAACCACATTAGAAGAATATCACCTGAATGAACTAGCGCCGCAACTTTCGTTACCTCAAACAGGGATAATAACGAAACAATGTATACATAATGGATCGTCATCACACTATTAGAGTACATAAATTAGGTCCCATTAGAGTCAATGTAATGGATAGGCTCAGCTCTGCCAGTGCTTGTAATGGATTGAGTCACAGCCCCCGACAGTAGAAGCATGCATTAGTTACATCAAGAGAAACAAGTCACTAAGCTAACCGCGTCAGTGGAGGCAATTAGAGAAGAGTGCAATGCCTGAGGGCAGGTATCGTGGACAAGAAAACTGCTTGGCCCTCTTGTGCAGTGATTTTTGGGAATTGATCGTAGTTGCTTGCGCCTTAAGGCTTGAACAATTATTTTATAATCCTAGCAATTCATTTGAAATGTGAAACACGACCATTTAAGTCGTCTGTTAGTTGGTAAATGAAATAGCAAGCCATCTACTGCCCCGTAGAACAATTCTCGGCGAACACTTAAGCATCGTTCCAGGGCTTGAGATTCATGTCGGTCCAGATGACCATTGTGTGGACCGACATGAAGCCCGGCGTATGAAGACACAATCATTGCGCAGGCCCGCACGATCATTTGCGTAGGCCGACACAATCACTGCACACTGCACAGGCCAGCACAATCATGTGCACAAGCCCGCACAATCATTAACACAGGCCCGCACAATCACTTGCGTAGGCCGACACAATTACTGCACAGGCCCGCACAATCATTTGCACAGGCCCGCACAATCATTTCCGCAGGCCAGCACATCATTGCGTGAGCCGATTCAAGGATCGCTGGTTGGTAGGCGGCAGCAATAATTTCGGCTCGACAAAGGCAATCTTTGGTATAAGAAAATCCTATTGTGCACTAGAAACATTACCTCATGTGAAGTTTACGGGGCACAAATACATTAAAAAACATGTACATTTCACGTACTCTACACAAGAAAACTAAGCGGTAAAAGTGAAAATTACACATTTGCCTCCGCTCAAGATGAAATCCTTAGGAGCAAAATGTCGAAAATAATAAGTTAAAGGTTTTGAGTCTTGCAAACGGCGTTCACTAATTTACCGTATAAATCAATAAGTCTCCTGGCCTGTCTGTCGGTGTTGACATCACTTGTTGCTGCAACAACAAGCTTCAGTTAAGTTGACAATCTAAACATCTTTCTGCACGTGGTGGCTTCGTGGCAGAGCGACCCAGTAAATCGCTTGAAGTTCAAATGACAAAAATAAAATTTAAAAGATACTTTATATACTACTCCGATACAAGTTAAAATGATGGGCATTATGTAAAAAGAACTACGGATTGCTTTGTCTAAAAAGCGTTGCCTGAAGCAATTTCTGTAGACGCCAAATGCGTTAAAAATGTCTAAATTGGAGCTGGATTTAAGGACCTCTCACGAAAAGTGCTTCACTCTTGAATCGGCAGCTGAAGAATCGACCAGAAGCACGAACCTAAGTATGACTTTAGATAAAGCTTCATATCTTTATGAACCGCAGGCAAGTCAAAAAAAGTACGTACATTCAGAGCTATTTCAACTATATAGGGGCAAATTGAGGTCTTATAGGCGCACAAGACCGCATACCCAGGCGGGTCAATCCTAGGTTAAGCTACAAATGCTTTAAAGAAACAATCCTGCAGTAATCGCGCAATCATACAGCAGCAACCTTCCTTCCCTCCCTCCGCGATCAAGCTTGAGACAAAATACGGAGTCACTAGTCCCAGCCAACCCCACGCTTAAACGAGAGCCTCATACACGTTCAGGTTCGTCAGGCCAACGATGATGACCCGAGAACTCGCGACATGCAGAATTATGTCATTAGTATGATACAGAATGAAGAGAATCATTAGTTTCATCAAGATATCGCCAAGCCTAAAGAATACAAAGGCAAGCCATACAGTACATACAATATTCGTAATAAAATGCGAGAAGTCATGTTATGATGGATATGTCAAAACAAGCTTCGACTACCGACCTGACAAGGCATATAAGGGAGCAGAGGTTACTGGGATGATCTGGTTTCTAACTGGAGTTTATTATTGGGAATGGAGAACATTAGCCTCACCAGTTCATCACCATCCGACATTGACGCAGCACCACAAAATCATCACCACAAGATTAAATCGATAACTTAAAGCAGCGTTGAAATAATTTCGGTATACAAGTAAAGCTAGAATAGGAGAAACTCAGATCTATAGTCCTCGACCCGTCCCTGCCCAACTTGTATCTTATTCCAGGTAAGAATAACATTACAATAAGGAGACGAACTTGCCGGCATAGGCAGTAAATGGTATACTACGACGAACGAAATAAATATGCACGAAAAATAAATAGCGTCTGTAAGAGGGCGACTCAGTGAGTGTGACTGGGGGTTATATATGTATGACCCATGACATTTGCGCCACATGCCAAGTGTGGCCCATGCCTCATGTGGCCCATGTCATACAAGGCCCATGCCATTGATGCCATCGGCCTGCGTGTTTACTTTAGTAAGCTGAATAACAGAGAAGACAAGATACGATGTCAACTAAGTACACAGGAAACCTGATTTGAAAACTGTTACAACTATAGAAAGAAAAAATAATAGAAATAATGATAATATAGAAAATATGTCAACAAACTTCCACTACGAACAATACAAAACTTCCAAATAAAAAGTTATAAAGGTTACATCACATCAAAGTGTCAGAGAAATCGTGAAGCTGCGGTAGTTCACGAATCATTTCATCAATCTCAGCATCACAATAATGAGGTGCACATCGTGCAACGCAGCCCCTCAAACGCTGAGGTGCACATCGTGCAACGCAGCCCCTCAAACGCTGAGGTGCACATCGTGCAACGCAGCCCCTCAAACGCTGAGGTGCACATCATGCAACGCAGCCTCTCAAACGATGAGGTGCACATCACACAGCACTCTCACACATGAAGTCATCTAATGGAAGTGAAAGACTAACATCGTCGGAGGCACGCAGAACTATTAAAGCAATAAAAAGTGGCTCCTGAAAACCATTAATTAGAAGTTTGTTGTTGCCTCGCTTAGCATTGAGGCACAAAAGCGTTTTGTGTGTGCCGCCCTACTAACAATAAAACCGTGATGACCGACGCACATAATTCCTTTCATTTATATTTGCTACATTTAATCTCAACAAACCCCCATTCTAGTGAATACTTGACACGCTTGTTTATGGAAGAGTGAGTTGCAACACTCGGTCGTCGACTGCCAAAAAATACTACACTTAAAATATACAACCTAATTAGGAAAGTAATTTGGCCAAACAAGATCTGTTTTGGTCTTGCATGAAGGAAGTCGCTAAATAGATTGCCCGTTAAGAAAATTAAAAGTTACTTAGTGGGAAAATGAGAAAATATTAGCTAATTTCCAGTTCTGTAATAATATGAACCACCGAACTGTGAAACCCCCGTAGCTCTAAAGAAGACCGCGCGCCGCATTACATGGCTGAGGCGTCAGCAAGCCACGGCGATGTTCTATGCTACAGGAACCTCGACCGTGCGAGTATAGCATGTATCGCTTCATAATCATAACATACTGAATCCAAACATTGTTAAAATTCCTAAAATTTACCTACTTAGAAACTTACCAACTCATCACAACATTAAGAGCATAGTTTGAGGAGTTACATTTCAGCACGTCCCACAGCAGCATCATAACTCACATTTCCAGTGCTGTGCAAAACAAGTACCACACGAGGCCATGTCCACGGCTGTACTCCAGCGCACTGCACCCACAGCTAAGTACTGCACAGCTGGCATTTCGAGCTTTGATTATATTTGTCTAAGGCAATATGGGAATAGTGAAGCAATGCAATACTGAAGACATGCTATGTATAAAAAGCCCGGATATGGCGACTCATCTTCAAACACACAGAGGACTTTACGAAATAACGATGTCGTCGTCACGTATCGACTGCCAAAATTATTTGAATGTTTGGTCTTGTAGGTACTGAGACCTCGGATGGTTAGGTTCAAAGTTCAGCTCCACTGAAGATTACTTGTTGAAAAAGTAGCCCTGACAGAGACGTCAGCTCAGAAAGCTGGTTAGTCTTTGGTCGTATTCAGTAAGAAATAACGATCGCCAGATCAAGAAGCAGGTTAATGATAATTGATCAAGATCCAGGATCTAAGATAGATCCAGACGCTGGACAGCAGAGGATGAGCTATGCGGGCGAGAAGTCGTCAGCAAGACACGTGATGCTGCAGGCCAACTCTCGAAGTCAGTAGTCCTATGCTATCCTAATTTTACTTAACCACCCAAAATAATACGTTTCTAACAAATTCAATTTACAGCGGGTTATATATCTCTACCAATCTGATTATTCTTTTCGTACTTATGGTGAAACTTCCGTTCAATTTTTACAATTTAGTTAATTCTCTCCACACCATTTCCACCCTTACCAAGGCTCGTTTCCTCTGCCTTCTTAGTTCCAACTTCATACGTTTCTATTTGCGTAATAAACATTCCTTCTTCCTCGTAAGATATTGCAATCTTCATCCCTACAACAATTTAATCCTACATACCTTTTTCACTAATTGAAACTAACTGCAACGCTTTACACATTATTTCAGCTGCTGCTACTTAGGTATGGATCGCTCTAGTGGCATCGCTATACCGCCTCTATGATCCTCTTATTCCAGCAGCCCGCCAAGCTAGTTCGCATGCTCTGATAGCCATGCTATTCGTACGATACCCGAGGTTTTCGTGGCTAGCACCAAATCAAATAACACGCATTATTAGGACTTGCTAACCTACCTATTTAGCTAATGAATGTAATCCCGAAACTATTACATTTCAGCTTTCGACATTGTTTGTCATTGCACTGATTTCTATTCCGAATTTTACGTATTTCCCAAAATCCAGCCTCAAAGTCTACTTTGCTTAATTAACAAACTCGAGTTATAAATGCATTCCATGCATACATTATCTACTTTAATTTAGTCCATCATGAAGTAGTAATACCAACAACTACATGGCTTGCTTTTACATTATTCTCTCGTCATTGCATCCTTTAAATGAAAGAAAATTCTCGCCCAGTTTCACTCAACGTTCCCGCACAAATTTCAGCTTTCATACTTCATCATTCAACTTTCCCGTACTTCCCGGAGGAATGAAATACAGTCTAAACTGACAGCTACACAACACAGCCGAGATGCTTAATAAATACTAAACGTTATTTTCCATGAAATCAAGTATTGCCTGATCCGGCAGCTCCACATCTGAGTTTTAAGCGCAACAGTTCCCAGAATCAGGACCTGGACTTGTATAATTGCACAGTAAATCTTATATAACAGGGCGCGAAGTGTCGCCACAAGTGAGCATCTTTCTACCAGGCGACCCAAGCGAGTGTTATGAGTAGTGGAGCACAATAATGCAGAGACAGATAAAACACACGAAATCTCTCTCAGCGTCAGGTGCATAAAGAAAATAAATGATCGCTAGAAGTGAAGCTCCGTATCTGACAAATGATATTTCTGTACGTCTACGAAAAGAAAAATTTGTTTCCTCGCCATAGTAACCCAGAAGAGAGATCGCTAAGAAGATCCCGGGCATAAACTCTTCACTGCTCACAACGAAGAAATTTCACCTCACATGTAGTCTCTTGAAAACAAACGAACCTTACTGTCGACATCGTTGGAATAATTCATTCGTGAAATAGTAAAGCTCAAACTCCATGCTACGCAACAGAAATACAGGACTTACAGGTCAAATTAAAATTCGTCCTAAAAGTTATGCAAGAGTTTCACCATACGTGAAAGAATGTTCAGACGATTTAAATGGAAAGTTAAGACGCATTCACAGTACAAGTTTTTTCCTATAAGTCCAAGTGTGACCAAGAGACGAAGATGAAGGTTTGGAAGGCGGGGAGAAGAAAAGAGTGGGAGGAATAAGTCATTTCACGTCAAAAGAAATTTCATGCGTTTCGGGTAGAACTTTCTCGTACTGTGAGAAAAAATCAACCAGACGGAATGAAAACTCTACCTCCCGCCCTCTTCCCTTCCCATGAAACAGGAGCCCTGACGATCGCAACGGAGAGGCGGCCACAAGAACGACCTGATGCGGCTTCCCTCCCTCGTGGTGGTAGGGGTGTCGCCCCCCACGTGGCGGTAGGGGCGTCTCCCCTCACTTGTCCTTATGGTATTAGAGGGACGTGGTGGTGACGTCACTACTGAGGTCCAGTCCTACGCTGGCTGGGGGGCTGGTATACACCCGCACCTCCACCTCCTCCTCTCAAGGACATCGGCATGGCGACCGCTTGGATGGGTGCTTGTCCTGCCCTGATGGGCTTGGCTGCACGAAAGATAACACGTTTACAAACTTCAACAGTTTAGGTTACAAGAGTCCTGTTATGGTGCTTTCAATATCCGGCAATATAGGCTTATGTACCTAACGGTCTTATAAATAATCGTTTCTAGGATTGTGACAAGACACAAGACAGTCGGCAACACACCTATCTGAGCAGCGAGGGAGCGTCGCGCCAGGTTCTTCTGTCTGACGGCCTCCTTGATGCGGTCGACCTCCTGTTGATATCTCTTGCGGTCCTTCATGGCTCCCTCCTTCGCCTCCTTCAGCGCCGTCTCCAAGGCCTGTCACAGAGAGCAGAGCAGAAATCAGTTTAAAGTGTTGTCTCGGTAAATTAAGTCAGTAAGTCTGAGTAAATTCAATCAATATTTTATGAGAATCAACATTAGAAACTTAGTTCAGATGCTCAATTTACCATAAGCTGAAGAGATTGATTTTATAAGAAACGATAAATAAGTATCCGTAAAGTCAAGAGAGGCCACGGCGCTCATCACAAAACGGTAGACGGTAGATCATGAAAGGCTTTAGCGTACTGCTAGTGTCGTGTTGCCATAGCAGGTCAAAGATAATAACGCTCTTGTTTAACGAGCATATTTTACTTCGACATATATTACACCTAAGGATGGCGCTTGCACACTTCCATCCTTGCAGACAGCACCCACCTTGACGCGCTCCATGGTCGCCCTGAGGCGCTTCTCGAGCTTGGGCAGCTCGCACCTGAGGTCAGCGTTGTCGCGCACCAGCTGCTTGTGCACCTTCGTCAGCTGATCCAGGTTGTTTTCCAGGAACTGGATCTTCTGCTTTTGCGCCAGTGACCCTCCCGCTTCATCACTTTCTTCGCCAGTGCCCGACTGTGGGGCAAGAGGATCATATGAGCTTTCCATGGGATAATCAACAATGTCGCTTCTTCGCTGTTAATGCAAGAAGCAACAAATAATGTAGAAAATTTAAAAAGAAACGATCAAAAACACAAAAAATTCAAGGGAATTTTTGGAGTATGGATAGGCTACTATTATTGCAAGCTTCTGTTGCTCGAGAGTGACGTATGTCTTGTAAGCAGGCGATATTGGGACAGCCTTAAAAGTCATAAGAAGATAGGAGGGAGGCGACGATGGAGATAAGATGAAGGAAGGTAGATAACAACACACTTAAGTAGGTATTAGTTGAAGACAGCTGTAGGAGGTGGTACTGACCTTCTTGACTCTAGCCTGCAGATCCTGCACGAAGAGCTTGCGCAGGTTGTGCAGAGTCTGCAGCTCCTTGGCGACGGTCTCCTCGAGCCCCTTGAGGTCTTGCCGCGCCTGCTCCTTGCGCTCCTGAACGCTCACCAGCTCGTTCAGCTTCTGACTCTTGTCAGCAACCTCAGCCTTAAGCTTGTCGTAGTCAGCTCGCACTTGTTCAGCAGTCACCGTCAGGCGCTGGTTCTCGTCTTTCAGCTCTGAGATCAGCGTCTGCTTGTCCGTCAGCTCATCGCGCAGCGCTGACAGCTGAAAATACATAAGAAATTTAGCGTCAATCAACGTAAATTGAGAATAAATTCCAACACGAGAAGAATTATGAAAACGCCTCACTACGCCGGCTTGTGGTGCTGCTCGGTGTGTTGCAGGATCTGCTTACAACACACCTGCTTGTGGTGCTGCTCGGTGTGTTGCAGGATCTGCTTACAACACACCTGCTTGTGGTGCTGCTCGGTGTGTTGCAGGATCTGCTTACAACACACCTGCTTGTGGTGCTGCTCGGTGTGTTGCAGGATCTGCTTACAACACACCTGCTTGTGGTGCTGCTCGGTGTGTTGCAGGATCTGCTTACAACACACCTGCTTGTGGTGCTGCTCGGTGTGTTGCAGGATCTGCTTACAACACACCTGCTTGTGGTGCTGCTCGGTGTGTTGCAGGATCTGCTTACAACACACCTGCTTGTGGTGCTGCTCGGTGTGTTGCAGGATCTGCTTACAACACACCTGCTTGTGGTGCTGCTCGGTGTGTTGCAGGATCTGCTTACAACACACCTGCTTGTGGTGCTGCTCGGTGTGTTGCAGGATCTGCTTACAACACACCTGCTTGTGGTGCTGCTCGGTGTGTTGCAGGATCTGCTTACAACACACCTGCTTGTGGTGCTGCTCGGTGTGTTGCAGGATCTGCTTACAACACACCTGCTTGTGGTGCTGCTCGGTGTNTACAGTCACAACGCAATCACTACAATCACAACGCAATCACTACAGTCACAACGCAATCACTACAATCACAACGCAATCACTACAGTCACAACGCAATCACCACACAGATGCCGCATTGTAACCAGACAGCTTGTGCTAGAAGAGAACTAGATTTTCAGCATTGTTAACGTTATTCAAGATATTGAATAAAATGATATATATACTTTATTCAAATATGACTCAGAGTACTGGTTTCATTGTACCTATAATGCTCTAGCTAATTTATATTCCATAAACCTCCTCGATACCACAAATAAGCGTTCCATAAGTATTCTTCAAGCGCATGTGCTGTATTCGGAGTCACCCTCTTGCTCAAACATCTTAAGCACAAACGTTTAACCTTTTCCAGCGCACGGAAAATATAATACAGTATAGCATAATGAGTACAGTATTAAATCGTGACGTAGGAATGAAGAGTATAAGCACACCTGCTCCTCAAGGGCACGCTTCTTGGTCTCGGTATCCTTGATGTTCTGGCTCAAGGTCCTGACTTTGGCTTCGTGCTGGGAGACCAGCAGTCGACACTCCTGCAGCTCCTTCTCCTGCGTGCTGATCTGCTCACGGAGGTCTCCCGAGGTGGTGTCGAGAGAACCCACCTTCTGCACCAAGTTCTTCACCTCAGACTTCATCTTGGAGATGTAAAGCCGCGTCACCGTGAACTCTTCTTCTGCCTTGCCTTCGTTCTCGCTCAGTTGCTGCGGTGGAGGAGTAGGTTAGGAACTCAGGAATAAGGTAGGTAGGGCTATACAAAAATGCTAGTAGGGAGAACAATTCAAGCTGGAAAACATGGGGAATGGAGGTAGACAGACTATAATAATAGTAACAAGCTTTAACTACTTCGATGATCGGATTAGTTTCCAATTATATCATCCAACATCCATAAGAGATAAGGTGTGACAGCTACTCTTGAATGGCATTCATGTAAAGCAGGCTAATCAGAGGATAATAATAATAAGCAAGCCTCCTCAAGTAACATCGGCGACGGCGCGGGTTCAAGTTTCCAGCAATTTCATACTGATTCCCTGCACGCCAAGGTACCCACGAAGCAGCACAGTAGCACACACCTTGAGGGCGTCGTTGCTGCTACCGATGATGGCGCCGATCTCATTGAGCTCCTTGAGCATGGCGACGAACATCTCAGTGATGCGCCTCTTCTGGTGCTCTTGTGCTTCTCTCACGCTCTGCAGCTCCGACGTGGCGGCATGTAGTGCCGCCTGTAGGAGGGTGGAACAAAGTAAAATAATCGAGAATCCTTCTTAGTGAAACCAGAAACTTTGAAAAAAAAATTATGGATGTGCGAGCGAAAAATAAAAACACAGGTTATATTACGGTATGCAAAAAGTCTAGGAACCGGTGGGGTCGGACGGCAGTTGGAAAACGCATTAAAACCTAAGCGATAAAGAAATGCCGCGATCGGCTGCTACCGAAGTGGAGCATTCGAGCAGCGCATGGATATGGAAAGAGCTGTGGAGCTGGGCTGGCAGCATGGTGAAGGTAAGCGGTCCAGACTAAGCTGCACTTCTGGGTATAGCAAGTCACAGTCAAGGTGAACTAGTAGAAATGCTTGCTGACACGCAGCGTGTAGGAAAATAGAAGTTATAGGAGGAAAAATTAAATAGCAAGCGGCTGAGAACTAACGCAGAAAAGCCAACTTTTTGTTAATGAAGAGTGCGAAATGGAACGCGCATCAGTAGAAGGAAACGAGATCACATTTGAGAATATGCCAGAAAGACGCTGAACAGAATTTCTTGTAATGAGGCCTGCTGCGCAGAGAAGATAGACAGGCTAAAAAATTCAAAGATGCCGTATGGCCGTCAGGGGAAAGCGTCGAATTTGAAGTACACGTTAGAGGTGCATAGCTGTCATTAATAAAAACGATTAGAAATCGAATCCTTCAGCGAATCAAATATTTCATATTGGATATAAGATCACATCCATGAGGGCTGGACTGTCGTAGAGATCGACGATGTTGATAAGGGATCAAGAGCGATGTATTTGACACAAATGATGTGATGTCCGATGATGTGATAATAAATGCCGCGATGATGTTGCAGTTAATACGAGGGATTGACGATATACGCTAGAAGGTAATTGGTAGCTGTGGTCCCCTACACGAGAAATATTCCAGGAGTCACGAAAGGCGGTGTTCACTCTAAGAGAAAAGGATAAGTGCGCGCGGTAGCCAAGTTTAAAAGGAGCTGAAGATCGCACCAGAGAGGTTTTCGGGAGTTACTCGTCTTGCAGTCTGCGGACGTTGTGACGTTCGCGCCCACGGACCGGCGGCTTCGCCCTTTTAGAACATTAACGGTCACGAGAAATATTATTTAATATTATTCGTACAAGATTTCCATTTTGACCCTCATGTACGGTACCTACTCTATTTGCCGTGATCAATTCTTGGAGAACTTTTAGCGGAGACGCGCCTTATTAACCGTCTCAAGCCAGATAAGCTAACGATACTGAACTATTGTTCATTTCTTCAATTCATAAACAAAACCTACTTTATACAACCGTCTTGAGCTAGGTTACAGAATAGTCTCCATAACCAAAAGAAACACTGTAATCAGATGACCAGGCACTGCGTAACACCGCTGCAAGTCTGCTAACCGCCCCCCATCATCACCTGCTTAGCGTTGAGCTCGTCGAGGGTGGCCTCATGCTGCTTGGTGCGGCGGTCGACCTCCTCGGTCTTCTGGTCGTAGTTGACGGCGAGCTCCTCGAGCGCCTGCAGCACCTCCTTCACCTCCTCCTTGGCGCTCTCGTTCTCCTTCGCTTGCCGCGCCATGTCCGCCTGTAGCGTCTCGTAGTCGCGACGTGTTGATGCGATCAACTGCCCACACGTCAGTAACATTAATGCTTAGTGATGCATAGCGATGACAAATGCAACCGCCCGCATGTCAGTAACATTGTTAATGCATAGTGATGACAAATGCCACCTTGCACACGTCAGTAACGTCGTTAATGCTTATTGATACGAATAACCGTGGCAAATAATGAGGCATCCTGATGAGATAAATTAACTCATAGACTGGATTGTTTTTCTAGCAGTTCCCTCTTGCACTAAAGCCTGAACCGCAGAGATTAAAAGACCAACTATAAAATGTGTGTGGCATTGCTGTTTGAATGGAAAACATGATTTAAAAATAATTAAACATGCAAATTGTTGACCGCAGGCTCTGTTGTCCCACTGGAGACACGCAGGCACCCCCACACACCTCCTCCTGCTCGAGCATCTGCTCGTTGAGCTTCTCGACGAGCTGCGACTGGTGCTGGATCTCGTCGTCCTTCTCGTCGAGCTGATGGTAGATGCGCTCACGCTCCCTCGCCCACTCCATGGCGTCCCCCTCCAGGATAGACGTCGTCAGCAGCGGCGCCGTCACCGACGCGTCTGGGGGAGAGCGAGGGTTACGAGCGTGCTATATGATGGTAGCGTGGGGAGGAGGGGTGAGGGGAAGAAGGGACGGGGGGAGGAGGTGTGAGGGAAAGAGGGGTTATTGGAGCGTCTGTGAGGGATAGCGGCCTGTGGAAATTTTTGTTGTGGCAGGCTCACATGTACATAACATTTCTTACTATAGTTTCTACTATTAAGTTACTTTGCTCTAGAACTAATGACTATTATTAGAATTGGCTCGGCCCATGTACGTTCAAAACCTAGAACTACGGTACTCTTCTTGTAGGTATAAGTGTACACATTTACTTACTACTTATACTTACATCCTTACTCAAGTGTATATTTGGTTTTTATACGTGTAAGACATTCACAAACGAATAAATTCCCTTCACGTTGTCATGTTAATAGCAGTATAGCGTGTGGGGCTAGGGGTGTTAGAGGCGTGTGGGGCTAGGGGTGTTAGAAGCGTGTGGGGATAGGGGTGTTAGAGGTATGTGGGGCTAGGGGTGTTAGAGTCGTGTGGGGCTAGGGGTGTTAGAGGCGTGTGGGGCTAGGGGTGTTACAGGCGCGTGGGGCTAGGGGTGTTACAGGTGTGTGGGGCTAGGGGTGTTACAGGCGTGTGGGGCTAGGAGTGTTACAAGTGTGTGGGGGCTAAGGATGAGGATCAATAGCTAAAAGTTTAACTGCATAGACAATATTTGGTTGAATCAACATTTCGGATACGGAACAAGTTTTAACCACTACAACTGTCACAAGCAAGGACGCCGGGTTAGAGGGAGCAACACGGCAAAACTGGCTAAGTTTGGTAACAAAAATTAACTTAGAGCGTTGCTAATATTAGTAAATATAAACATCTTATCAAGGGTACAAAAACTATTGGAACATAATTAGAACATTTGAACTCATCAACATATTATCACCGAACAGGAACAACATGGACAACACGGCCGCACGACTGCCACACTCATGGGAAGAATGCATGCAATCGCCTAATGTGTGGTGGTACGCTAAGAACGCAGGCAGGCCACGACTTACAGGCTGACAGGCCAAGAAGTAAGGGCAAGTGGGCCAAAGAAGTAAATGCAGACAGGTCAAGATGTACAGGCCGAGAAGCAAAGGCAGGTAAGGTAGGCCAATAAATAAGGGTAGGTAGGCCAAGAAGTAAGAGCTGAAATGCCAAGAAGGGCTGGCAGGACAAGAAGTAAGGGCTGGCAAGACAGACAAGAAGTAAGGGCTGGCGGGACAAGAAGTAAGGGCTGGCAGGACAAGAAGTAAGGGCTGGCAGGACAAGAAGTAAGGGCTGGCAGGACAAGAAGTAAGGGCTGGCAGGACAAGAAGTAAGGGCTGGCAGGACAAGAAGTAAGGGCTGGCAGGACAAGAAGTAAGGGCTGG